GTTGACATTTGGGGCCAGGTAATTCTTTGTTGTGGAGGTCTGTCCTGTGCATTGTAGGATGTTATGCAGAGGTCCTGCTCTCTCCCTAGGAGATGCTTCCCCCTTTTCAGTTGTGACAAAATGATCTCTAGATATTGCCAAATATCCCCTTGGGGGTAAAAATCACTGTTGGTAGAGAACCATGGGCCTAAGAACAATACTTCAGATAAGATCCAGATGATATGTTCCATTTGGGATTTTAATACCAATCGACAATCTGCTTGATAAAAGCATGTTTGACCTGAGGTATGAATTAAAATGTGGTATTTTCTTTAGGCTACTTGGGAGCTTAAAGCTAAGATTCATGTTTAGCATATTAACTCTAGGAGCCTGTTTTCAGGACTCCCCTTTGATTTTGAATATAATTGGTACTTTGGGAAATGGCTTCATGTGATTTGAAGACTGACAGGCAAAATGTCTCCATATGGAAGCAGTACCGTTTTCAGCGGAAGTTAGGCTACTTGAAGTAGCTTTGGGGCCAGTGAACAGCAGGTTTGGAAGTTGAAGAGGAACAGGGAAGACATTGTTTGGTACGTGTGGTGGGCATACAGCACCTATTCCTTTGGTTTTTCTCATGCCACATTTAACTGTGGGATGCTTTCTGACAGTGGGGTGGGGAGCTGCAGTTCAGAAATCAAGCCAATGGGGGCTCAAACCACAGTAATTTGGGCATTAAAGTTAATGTGTACTTCCAATTTGGATATGGAAAAGTCAAATCTTTTCTCTTTTCTTGGAAACCACCCAAAAGCAACAAGGAGAATGAGAAACAGAAGTACAAACTCCTATTTCAACAAAACTAGGAGACATCTGAGAACTGGAACTATAATAAGAGTGGTGAAGGAGCTGGAAAAGCATTGGATATGAAATGAGAATACAAGCAGCAGCCTGCCGCTGCTGCTGTCCAGAGCAAGCACGCTAGCCCGGCTTCTGCAGGGTGGTGATATTAGCAGGAGAGTCTAGTCCTAGAGCACATTGTCAGGGCTACAGTGATTCACACACACAATTCTGGATCATGAGAAAAATGTTAGTCTGACCTCTTTGACCTGAAAATCCTGCTAATTCCTGGGAAGAATATCACTTAAAAATCAGTTTTTCCCATCTAGGCAATTTTCTTTTAAGTGTTCATTCTTGAATGTAAAGTGTTACATTCAATCTCTCAGCAAATTCTGTTGGCTCTCCTTTCAAAGTACATGGTTCTGACTGCTTCCACCATTACCCTCTTTCATGCTCTCGTGCTCAAGCTGGAATATGGCAACAATTTCTAAACAGGGCACTCCGTTTTCATGATTGGCACTCTTAAAGATACAGGGCTATATTCATTAGATCATGCTTTAAGTCAACCAAAATTAAAAGGCAATGTTCAATCTCAATTCTTTCCATTTACAGATGAAAGCACTGAAAAAAGATCAAATTTGTTTGACTCTTCACTTAACCCTATGAACTCTTGGAATTATAGGCCAAAATTCAGCAATCTGTTCACCTTTCCTGTTACATATAAGCCAAATTGGTGCTGTGGTTTTATGTGCTGCAAACTCAATTTGAACCTCAAGGTTGGCAGTTCAAGCTCACCAGCTGCTCCTGGGAAACCCTATACAGGGTTGCTATGGGTAGGAATGGACTAGAAATCGACAGCACTTTAACAATTTTATTGATGGCTTATATATAACTGGAACCCGTCTGATTTACAAAAGGAAACGTTCAGGCTGTACCATCAACAGTTTCAAAGCCTGGGATGTTTTTACTTGTGGGGACAATCATCTTTAAGATCTGCGATGGCTGAGATTGCCTTCCTCAGGGGGAAAAAGGCTACTGTGAAAGAAATAGCAAAAATTTCAAGATTAAATGGTTTGAGACAAATACAATTGCATTGTCCATATTAATTTCCTTTTGAATCCCCTCACGTGCACAAGAGGACTGTGTTCACTTGACTACTAAGAGCTCTGGTAGTGTAGTGGTTATGAGTTGGGCTGCTAATCTCATGGTCAGCAGTTGGAAACCACCACGGTTCCCTAGAAGATGAGGAAACCCTATAGAGGGTCGCTGAGTCAGAACTGACTGGGGGGTACTATGCAGATGGGCTTAAGTATTAAGTAGCATTCTGTGCAGTTGCATCAAGGGCAGGTAGAACCTTAATAGAATGAGTTGAGGGAGGGAACGAAAGGGACTCAGTGGCTAGAATTTGCATGTTTACTGCTCATCAGTGTGCTAAACAGTTTACACTTTTCTGTTTCTCACACTAAGCATGAAGTGGTTACTACTGTGATCCTGCTAAAAGGTGACCCAAAGAGCTCAAGCTGTGCTCAAGGTCACTTAGCAAGGTAGTAGGACTGCAAGAGGACCTAGAGCACAGTGGGGCACATCTGCAGGTTGTGGATTTAGTAGGCAGAAGCTCAAGGAATTTCTTACGGATTCTCTATAAGTTAGAAGGTAACAGCATATTAACAGTGAAGATGAGAAGGTCTCAAGTTTGAGAACAGAGGTTTTAATGACAATAGTCAACTAGGTTAGAGGAAATAGTACGGATAACAGTGTTGTGGGTGACTGACAGTAATTTTTAGTAATAGCAATTTGTGTATTTGTTGAGTTTTCTCCTGAATGCTCTGTAGGGGACTAGATATATCTATATCTAGGGTTGGAATTTTCCAGCAAGATATTACATTGGGGAGGGTTATTTGGGCTAGTAACAACTATGGTACTGAATTAATAAATAAAAAATCTAGATAGGGCTTATGAAGGTGAAAACAGATTGCCAGTGACCAGACTCACAGGAATAAATGAAAAGAGGTATTATAGTCAGAGGGGAGATTTCTAAATCAGTGACTTCAGGGATTAAGGCTGGATGTGTGGTGGAGACAAAGCAATAAAACAAAAAGTCCTCTGAGTACGAAATGGTCACTGAAACCAAGTAGCTGACATTGTTTATTTCCCCAAAATTTACTCCAGGAACATGACCTATGTTTCTGTTCTCAACCAAACTATGCTTTAATCAGGTACAATCACTCTAAGCTTTCTTTCTGTACCTACAATTCTTGCAGATTAAAAAAATTATAGATGAGAGTACTTTTACTAATGCACACAAAATTGAATCTATCTTTCTGGAAACATTCTTTTCAATAGAAAGACTATCGTGATAATTTCATACCTGAAATGATCTACGATATAGAAAGTTACTGATATAAATTTTTCACAGAATACTGTATTTCACTGCATGAAAATAATTTGTATTTTCCACTTGGCAGTTTTTTTTTTTTAGTGAGGGTATCAAGATGGCATGGCATCTGTCTTCTGTTAATACTTTTTGTGATTTAATAAGAAAAAAAACAAAACAAAACACCTGCTGTTCATGCTTAAAAAACAGCCATCACATTTAAAGTAGTGCCAGGACACTAGGCCACAAGGGACCAATAGACCTAAATTTATTCCAACCCTGAATTATATATTAATGTCCAATAGTACATGAATTGAAATCAGAATTTCTCAATTTGAAGATGAAGAAAAACATTCTTCCAGTGTAGCTGTCACTTTAGAAGGCTCTTCTACTTATTTATAAATAACCCAGCCTATTGAAACAATGAAATGATGACAATACTTAAAAAAAAAAGAGTAATACTGATCTCTCCCTCTTCAATTCTTAAGCATAATCAGTCCTTTCCTTTCTACATAAATTATCTGAAATAATCAATTCCACAGGCTACACATTTGAAAATCAGCAGCCAGCCTAAATTGTGTTGAAGTCAAATTTGTTTAAACCAACTGTTTGTTAAATGCCATGTGCACTGTCTACTCTTCCTCGACTCAAAAGTTTACTATATGGGGCAGCATCTATTTTAAAACTGCGTGAGAACTAAGGGAGAAAAAACTCCCAAGAAACAAAAAACCTTCAGGGTCTAACATACAAAGACTATCAAGATGGACCATTATTAAGACCAGAAATATTAGCTGTTCTAGTCGCTACTTTTCTAACACATTTAAATTTCAGAGCAGCAGAGGAATAATTAAAAAGAAAATTCCAACACGTTAACACATATCTAATCATCTAAACATACAGTAGTCCAGTTCACAAACAGATGTGACTTGAGCCTTTCAACATCAGTACGAAATATACTTTTGGACCCACTTATTCAAAGATCACTGACTAGCCCACAGTGCAGTCTGCATTACTCTGCTGTATGAATCAACCAGTTAACAGCAGCTAGATGATTCCAATCTTACTCCAAAAAAACACCAAAAAACACAGCAATAAAATGAGAAAGTAATATTTCTAACAGTACTGATATAAAATGATGAGAATTTCTTGTTCAACAAGCCTGTTCCTAATTTTTAGATAATGGAGACAAAAGATGTCACAACCTAATGTGGGAAATCGCTGTTTTTTTAGGCCTTAGTGAAAAAAAAAACTCAACTTTAGGCACATCAGTACACCTCAAAGGTCCAAAAAAAATCAGTTTTACATAATCCTAAATAGATAGGACCAAATGATCACAGAAATAATTTCTTCTGTAAAAATTGGCCAAAATTTATTTTAAAAATCTAATATATAATTTAAACTCTATAAAGACTGCTTGGGGTCATAATATTATAGATTTATGACAGTTGTAATTCCATCCTAACAAGAAAGTACTTGTTCTTATGTTGCTTTGGTCCAAAAGAGTAGAGCCGAATCAGTAAGAGTAACTAAATATCTAATCTTTAGACAACCTTAAATTAGATTGTTATTGAAAGGAGAAATATCTATGACGAATAATTCTACTACAACAAAGTATAATAAAAGAATATTTTTCATGAACATATCACAGTCTCAAATAAACTTTTTATAAGAGAAAAACATGAAGAAACAAAAAAGGATAAAATGCTATCACAACAAAAAGACCCACAAAACATTACCAGTTTCAAAAATGTCACCCCTCTAACTGCATTAGAAGGGGTAAGAAGGTAAGATTAGAGGGCTGATAATGCTACTATGAAAGGATGCTGAGTACGGTATTTATTTCTTATTTATACAACTCTTACTCTTTACAAAAATGGTTATAGTCATGCCCACAAAAGTGTAACCCATGGCATCTGAAAGCAAACACTCTTTGTAATTTTTTAAAAGGGCCTTTTTAAAAATTATAATACAAAGGTCTGTGCTCTATAAGCAGTCCTCCACTGTGCATTATAACAATAAGGCTTACTTTTAATACAAAGACTTAAGTGTTTGGGGAGTTATGAACCACTGGATTTAACAAACATCATTTTATAATTGCTCTTTGCATCCTTCTTGTTTTTGGGATCCTCCACATCATCAGGGTGTTCTGGAGCTTGTAGTTCTTCAGCAGATTCTTCTTTCTCTGACTCGGAATCACTTTCAGAGTCATCTGGGCTTTCAGGGTCAGGTGACTCATCATCATCATCATCATCTCCTGGCACATCACCTTCTCCATCATGGTCTTCTACCTAAAAACAGCAACCAACATGCTCTTTCTTTTTATAAACACAGTCACCTCATACAAAAATTGGAAAAGGCCCAAATTTTTGTCACATAGTTTTAAAACTAGATTTGATCAGAAGCTGTGTGTGTGTGGGGGGGGGGGGGGGGGATGAACTGAGGACTGCTTTAAATATTGGGCCATGAGTAGGATTTTTGGCTTACAAAAGGTCACTAAGGACCACTCACTAGCCTCCTTCCTCCTAGTACAAAAACCCCAGTATTATAGTTTCATGTGGAAAACAGTTACCGCTGTTATGTATATTTTATTCTTTGAAGTAATTGCCCAGAAGTTTCACATTAATTCATAAATTTATTCAAGAAACAATGGAGAAGGAATTCTACACCAATATTTTAAGCTTACATGAAATATTTAACCTAACTTTTGGGCATACTTATTAAGAAGGGGCCCTAATAATGATCTAAACCAAATTTATATTTTGCTGGCATTAGAAAATATATTTTATAAAATACCTCTCCCACCCAAAATCTTTGGATTATACACAGCAAACCAAATGGATATATATTTTAAATAACCGTATAAAGCAAGTATTCCAGATAGGATTCTTGATTAATAGAATGAAATGATTATCAAGTGGCAACAAACGATATCAAATTGTAAAAATTATCTTCCCAATCAATTAAAATAGTTAATTACTACCTCACTGAAGCCAAGTCCACAATGCCGTCGATATCTTCCTGATAATTTACTGTCCATACTTTGCTGATACTGAGACTCCAGCTCTTCATTAATTTTCTTGTCTTCTTCCCCTGCAGGTCCAGTGTACTTTGGTTATGTTTCAGTCAAATTAACAAAAATATTTGATTACACAAAAAAAACCAAACAACAACCCATAATAAAGATGTTATTATATTCAGGGCTGATTTCTGTAATTGTAACTAATTTTACAATGGATTCTCTGGACAAGTTTCTATATCCCAGGTGGCTACCTAACAGACAGTAAAATAACTGGTGGATATATTTATTAATACTTCTGTGGTAACTGAAAACTATAAAAGATGAAGAACCTGTATTTTTCTATTTGACAATCTAAAAAAGAGAGTCTCACAAAGAGCTGCCTGAAGTTCAAATTAAATATTAATGCCATTAAATAATTAAACATTAATTACTAAGAGTTTTGAGTATTAAATATTCAGCCTGTTTATAGTATACTAAATGATTTTTTTCCTAAAAGTGAACATTTTCTCCTAGTTACCTAAAATGTCCGATAAACAAAAGCTTCTGTCCAAATAGAAATAGTGAAGGTAGGCCCTTTTGTTCAGAAGAGCTAAGTGACTTTGTACTAGCTCTCCTTTATGTCTTTCTTTGCCTACCAGTGTACAGAAACAAAAGAAATTTAATCATTGTGTTATACAACATTTGAAAATTGATATATATTCTAAGTTATGAGATAAATTAAACAAACACCTACAAACATATCACTTAAGAACCAGCACATTAACAATCCCATTAGAGGTTCTGATGTATAACATTTCTATGTTTCTATTCTGTAAAGCTCAGGGACATTAAAAAAAGAAAAAAAATTAAATCAATTTTTAAATAATGGTTTTAGCACCACAAAATTAAAAAACTTAATTAAAAAAAAAAATGTGCTATACAGTCTAGATTATTTTAAGGAGAATTTAAATATTATATTAAAAGTTTTGTTAAATATAATCGAAATCACACACCACACCCTGTTATTAATGTCCACAACTATGGTAAATTTTAAATAGAAAATATTTTTACTTTTAAGCAGATTGAATTCATATCTAAATCCAGTTTTTCTGTTGTTATTAAACGTTGTTGAGTTGGTTCTGACCCATAGTGACTCTGTATAGAGTTTCTGAGAAGCAGCTGGTGAGCTTGAACTGCTGACCCTGTGGTTTAAACTGACTTCGCAGTCCAACACATTAACCCACAGCGCCCCACCAGACTCCAAATCCATTCTTTAGATTTTATTTAAAAAAAAATCTCCCCTTAAATAAGAGATAACTTCCAGGCTACACAACTAGCTTATTATTCTTCAAAAATTTCAGAACCTTAATGAATAAACTAAAAAAAAAAACCACAAACAAAAAAACACAATAAACTTTTACAGTTTTAGCAACCATAAAATAATTTTTAAAGACTATAAACTACACATAGCACAGCTGACAAGGCACAAAACATCATAATTAAAATACATGTTGAGTCAGTAAAAATGACGAAAGAGGTTCGCATATCACTGATTTGTACTTGCTAATTTTTTGAATTAAAATACACACTAATCTTTACATGACATATGTAACATGTTTATGTCCTATATCTTTCCAATCCCAATGTTTCAATCATTAACACAGTTAATGATTAAAGTGAGAATATCTCAAAGTAAAGTACAAATATTTCATTTCAAATTTAGCACCTCCACTATAATTATATTTTACTTTCTCACCTGTTCGAAAGTGAGACGTTGATTTGTGATCTCCTATAACAAGACGACCAGTATGTTCTTTCTATAATAACAAAGTAGAAGATGTATTAGAATTTGAGACAATTAGCATAATTATTGAGTATCTATTGTGTTTGACTATTCTAGGCCTTTAGATACAAGTGAAGAAAGATGAAATTAGAGTTAAAAAACATTTCTATTACTTTTTATTGACTGAAGGTTTACAGAGCAGATTACCAGTTTTACATTCGGTAAATCCTATGCTTTGCCTCATTACATGGTTGCAGTCCTCTCCATGTACCAACAGTTAACTGTATTTCTGTTCACTGTATCTATTTATTGCATTCTTCCCTGTGTCTCCTGCTACTTTCATCTTTCCTCTGCTAACCTCTCTCTTGTATACTGCCCGCCCTGTCAACTGTGTTAACATGCGTCTACCCTCTAGTCTGAACAATTTTTCCTCCCCACCTCCCGTAACCATCATCTATAGTTTCAAAAAAGACTAAATTTAATAGCCGTCTTTATGGAGGTGAGGATAGGGGAGGGGAGATGGATAATAAAGCAAGCACATTAATAGTATGGTATGACGGGGTAATCACCATTACCATTTAAAAGCAAAGAAATGAAATAGAGCAAGGAAGAAGGGCTATAAGTTACGAATATAGAGATCACGGCATTTTAAACAGGATGGGCCGTATTGGGAACATACAGGTATCCTCTGCTTTTTGAAAGTTCCTTTATGCCACTTTTACAAAAGGCCTACCACCTTTTTTCACTAACTGAAAGAAATCTGAAGATCTTACTTTTTATGAAAAAAAAAAAAAAAAAAAGCATTTGTTTTGCTTTAAGTCACTGAAGAAGTAGCATTAGATAACAAAACCCTTAGCAGTGAGAATGGCGTTGCCAAACTCCTTTCCCAGAAACTATACACTAGTACTTCTTAGCTCTAAGCTGCCAGTTTTGAGCTCTATCTGTCAACGCTATGTCACTGTCATTATAACTGTTAAACCACTGAGAATGCCGGCCTAGCCCTGCTGACACACAACCTTAATCATCACAGCCAGCATTACCCTTGCTTCCCACTTTCGTTACTGCCAGACGGTCAATGCTAATGTACAACATAAAATGAAAATTAATATAATTTACAACATATCACAATCACATAACTAGCTCCTTATTATGATGCCAATAAACACCCAACCTCAAACTGAAAAAGAACAGAATTTAAAACAATACTATATAACATAAATATTAATCTGATTCAAAGTTATCAACTGATGAGGCTACATAATTCCCCAGTTTACCGCTTCCTCTAGCCACTTTTTATGATTCCCATTTGTTTTATAAGGTAAAGTAAATAATTCACTAAAACCTAGAGCAATGGTGAGATTAGCTGTGACTGTACAAAGCACTCTGACCAATCATCCATGAATATACCCTAAGTATTACCTATGAAGGGACTTCGAAAGTTTGTGGAAAAATGAAATGGAAAGATAAAAATTTTCCACAACCTTTTAAAGCCCCCTTGTATAATGGCATTAAGTTTTTCTACGATGATGATGATGTTACACTATCTGTCTATGTTCGTTCTCCCAGCTGCTTCTCCATATGACCAACAAGATTTTCTTGGTAGCTAGCTAGGATTTAGGAAGATAACCTGGCCACAAAGCAGAATAATCTAAACAGTCCACCTGAAAAATCACAGTTACAACCTTGGTTTTACTAGCAAATTTAAAGTAAACAGAATATTACTGGTAGCCAAACATCTACATTTTACATTAGGATGCTCTACCTATGTAGTACACCCTTTGTTTGAATATAACCCTCAACTGTTAACTTGATATGCTGTTGAGTCGATTCCAACCCATAGCAACCCTGTATAGGGTTTCCGATGAGCAGCTAGCGAGCTTGAACCGCTGACCTTGCAGTTCAAATGACTTTGCAGTCCAGTGCATTAACCTACAGTGCCACATCAGGACTCCGTTAACTTGATATTTGTTGTTTTGTTGTTAAGTGTCATCAAGTCACTTCTGACCCATAGCGACCCTGTACAGGGTTTCCGAGGAGCAGCTGGTGAGCTTGAACTGCCAACCTTGAAGTTGAAACGGCTTTGGAGTCTGGGGCATTAACCCATAGCGCCACACCAGGAGTAACATGATATGTTGTTGTTGTTAAGTGCCATTGAACTGGTTCCGACCCACAGCGACCCTGTATAGGGTTTTCAAGGAGCAGCTGGTGTTCACGTAGAACCAAGAGAAACTTCAGAATACTTCCTATGACAAATTACACACTGAATGAAGATATCTTAATAAAATGCTTTACACTTCATCTAAATCTGGTTTGTAGGAAGACTTTTAGATTGATACTAGGAAACTAGCTTTGTTGTTAAGTGCCATTGAGTCGGTTCCGACCCACAGCGACCCTGAACAGGGTTTTCAATCTTTATGGGAGCAGAAAGCCTCATCTTTCTCCTGTGAAGCAGCTAGTAGTTTTGAACTGCTGACCTTGTGGTTCACAGCCCAATTTGTAACCACTACGCTACCAGAGCTCCTAGGAAACTAGCTTTACTTGCTCATAAAAATATGTTTAGAAACCACCATATTTGCATTTAACAATGAATTGCTAGTAAATTTTTCAACAAGCAGTGTTTTTCTGGCACCTATTATTTTATAACTTCTACATAAACACATTAATCAAATGACAGACATTAAAAATATACTAAATATATTTTAATTACATTTTTGACAAAGGGTATTCCATTGACTACTACTTCAAGGGATAAAGGGAGCTTTCTAATTGGCTTTGGTAGAGATCTCTGTTCCTAAAGAGTTAACTTGTATAAAAATAGAATAACAAAGTATGGCCATAAAATCCTTTAATTAGACAAAAATAACAAAATGGAAAGCTATGGTTGCTCAACATATCCTCCATTTATGTCTATATACTTCTGAAGTATATAGTGTACAGTGTTTCCAAAGCATGGGACCACAAGATAGGTTTGAACTGCTTGGTTCAGGCTCACCAGGCGCTCTTTGGAACCTTTATACAGGGTTCTTTAAGTCGGAACCGAATCGATGACACTTAACACTTTTGGAATCCCAAAAAAGTTACCGTAACCTTCTGAGTTGACTTCTCTGCCTTGAATTTAACTGGTACAGCAGCAGTTCCCCTTAGTAAGCAGCTTTGACTGGACCTTTCTTTGAAAGCACTTTAACAAGGCTGTAACATGTACATTACTGAGAACTTGTCTGCAGCCACCCACTGATTGCAGAGATGTGTTCTCTGGAATAGACTTGTGCATGTATGAACTGTAGTAGCAATACTTTCCGACTTACCTTCATATCTTCTGTCAGAAATAACATAAATTTTAAGTACTAGGTTGTTGTTAAGTGCCTTCAAGTCAGTACCAACTCATATCGACAATGAACAGGGTTTCTGAGGAGTGGCTGGTGGGTTTTAACTGCTGACCTTGTGGTTAGCAGTGCCATGCTTATAGCACTATAAAAGTACTAGGTTAGGTCTGTTCAATTTCCCAAAGTACAAATCATATCGTACAGGAAAATGGGATCCAGGTGAATTCAGTCCTCACTTAGCATACAGAAAAATGGGCATATTTTCACAGAAAAGATAAAGATGCAAATGAGCTGATGCGTACCTTTCCTGCTCCCATGAGTCTCAGGAACTTTTGTTTTCTCTCTTCATTACCTAAGTCTGCTGCCTCCCAATTGCTAGATCCAAGCTGGAAAAGAAATTAGTCAGGATTAATTTTGCACATAAAACTTAGTTAACATTTTAGAGTGTGCCCTTTAACTCCCTAGCTTTTTTCCTTTTCTATCAGTTTTCATAAAAAACAGTCATTGTTCTTGCTTAAGAATTAGACATATGCATTATATTCAGATTAAAATACACTCCTTTTCTAATACCTCAAAACAGAAGTGGTTCTCAAGCATTTGCTTGCCGAAGAATCACCAGGAAGGCATGTTAAAACAAACTGCTGGGCTCCATCTCCATGGTTTCTGATTCAGCAGGTCGGTCCAATTTCTAATATTCCTTATGTGATGCTACTGCTGCTGCTATGGAGATGGGAACCACTTTGAGAACCACTGCCCTTGAGCCCTGGAGAAGCTGACAGCGCCTAGTATTCTGAACCTTGAAGCCTACAAGGTTGCTGGTTAAGGTTAAAAAAAATAAAATGAAATTGTTTTAGTGGTATTCTAAAGCAGTTGTAGTTGTTGATTGCAACTCATGGCAACTCCAGTTGTGTCATAATAGAACAATGCTCCATAGGGTTTTCAATGGCTGATTTTCAGAACAGATCATCAGGGCTAGCAAACATACGAAGAAATGTTCAAGATCATTATCCATTGTTGTTAAGTGCCATCGAGTTGGTGCCGACCCATAGCGACCCTGTATAGGGTTTCTGAGGAGCAGCTGGTGAGCTTGAACTGCCAACCTTGCAGTTCAAACGACTTTGCAGTTTGATGCATTAACCCACAGCACCACACCAGAATTGCCATTATCTATTAGAGAGATGCAAATCAAAACGAGATATCATCTCACACCAGCATTAACAGTGAAGTTTAAAAAACTAAAACCAAATGCTGGCAGGGTATGGAGACTGGGACCCTCTTACATTTCTGGTGATGCTGTAAAATGGTTCAACCACTCTGGAAAACAGTACGGCACACTTCCTTAGAATCTTGGAAATAGAAATACTATGTTGTTGTTGTTGTTAAGTACTGTGGAGTCGGTTCTGACTCATAGTGACCCTGGCAGAGGGTTTCCGAGGCTGTAAATCTTTACGGGAACAGAACGCCTCACCTTTCTCCTGCGGAGCCACTGGGTAGTTTTGAACTGCTGACCTTGAGGTCGGCAGCCTGACTCGTAACCACTATGCTACCAGAGCTCCTTCTACCATATGACCCAGCAATCCCTCTACTTTTTATAGATCCATAAGAAATATGAGCCAGAACAAGAGAAGATATTATGTACACCAATATTCACTGCAGCACTATTCATAATAGCAAAAAGATGGAGACAGCCTAAGTGCCCATCAATGGAAAAAAGGATAAACAAACATTGTGGTACATACACACAATGGAATACTATGCACTAAATAACAATCTGTGAACACCTCACAACATGGATGAACCTCAGGACACTCTGCTGAGTGAAATTACTTCAGTCACAAAAGGGCTAATATTGTATGAGACCGTTATTATAAAGGTTTCCATATTAAAACATTCTGTGCTGGTTACAAGGGGTGGAAGACCCATGTTAGCTCGGGTGATGGGAAGGGCAATGCACAAGACGGGGGAGGGCAATATACAAGAGGGAGGGTTACAGAAGACAGGTGAAAATACAAGTATGCAAAGGCTAAAGGGGATAGAGGTAAACAGATGTATACATAACCTTGGAACAACAATATTCTGTGCCTAGATAATGGACTGAGACATAGGCTGAATGGGTAAGGAAAGAAGAGTGGGAGATGTATATATTTATATATCCCACAAATATACTTAGTTTAAAAGAGCATATTTGTATATGAATATTTACCTTTCCAGCAAACACAACTATGACTGTGGTGGAGCATATAGCAGAAAGAATTATGAAAATTTCCTAGATTATTATCACATATCTTAAGACAATGAGTTGATGGGCCTGGGTCTCAGGGAACACATGGTCAACTGGCTTAACTACAAAAACAATGTTCTACATCCTGGTTGAGTGAATAGCATCTGGGATCTTGAAAGCTCATGAGTAGCTGCCAATTGTGCAGCTATTGGTCTTTCCATGTGCAGAAGAGTGATAAGAACTGAAGAGGCTTGGAATCAATTAGTGTAAAGGAACATGTGAATATCAGTCTCCCTAAAGGAGCTCTGGTAGCGTAGTGGTTAC